AGCCGGCAAACTCTTGGAGGAACATTCTTTCAGCAACAGGCATCTAGGGATGCAAAGCTACGGATAGGGCACGGTTCACAGTCAAAGTAATGTGCTCAGCATGCTGCAGAAGCTCTCGTTCGATCTATGAAAGATTTGGACAGGTAAAACATACGTGCCAAGCTTGAGGATGTCCGACATCACAGGCCTTGATCTGGGGCCTGCAACAAATCCTGTACCCTTGCCACCAAATCTGGCAGACCGGGCTCCTGGAAGTACAGGGGGGGGCAGCCTGCGTGAATACCATTGGGAATGGAATGGCTCTAAAACAGGGCACACACAAAGCAGGTTCAGATGCGCTTCGCAGCCAATCCCCTCTCCTGCGCGGAGCTCTTGACCTTGACCGCAGACTTCTGGCTGCGGGCCTGCCGGCCTTATTTTGGAAGGTGAAGCTCCAGAAGGCTACTTTCTCAGAAGTGTCAATCCATCCAAAGAGATGAATGGACTACCCCCAACATTGACGTGAGGTTGCGCACAAGCAGCGGGAGACAGAGGCTGCTGTGGCCCCCATCGCAATGCTGGCAGCGGCCAAGCCGGGCACCCTGCTGCGATGCGCAGCAGCGGGTGCAGAGGCAGCAGCACCACCATGAGACATCTGGTTCACCTGACGGACAATGCGGGCTGAGATGGCAAACACCAATGTTCTGCTTTTGCTACGGCTCAAGACATTTGAATCACTTTGGGGGATGACCGTCTTGTGAAAGAGCATGCCCCTTCAATGCGTACCCTTCAAGGTGGTGGAATGATTGGCATGACGATACAAATGACCCAGACAACAGACAACCCAATTATATGCCGGCCCTGCCGGCTGCCAACTAGACAAAACTTATATAACTTCGACTCCTGTCTTTGTTCACTCTCCAAGTCCAACCCCGTCGCCTCCATCTGTCGTGGGACATCACCCGGGGTCACAAAACCAGGGACGGCCATGAGGGCAGCAGCAGATGCTCCTGCCGTTGAAGCGTCCCAACAGTCATGCGGCCCTGTCCCCTTTTCTGCATTACTTCAACGCTGTCCACAAAGCCCGAAACTCCTGCCTGCCACTAAAGACAAGCGACTCGGCCGAGACATCTTGCTGACCACCTTGGTGCACATGAATGTTTTGAGGCAAACTCATGCAGAAAAAAAGGTCCACTAATCCTGGAAGTCGCAACAGCTCTGAGTGTCTTCCCTGTGCGTTCAATGACAATGCAGTGAAAGGAGTTTCAAGAAATCATACAACTGGGGATTCGCACAGCCATGATGGATTCTCCGCGGAAGCAACAAGTTCTCGCTGGAAGCTAGACTTAACAATGTTCTGAGCCGAAAACATCGGCCACAGTGAGTCGTTCTGTGAATATCTAGTCGTTCTGTGTAAGCTTCAAAGGCCTTCCTAGAAAGCCTTTTTATTACGTTCGTAGCGATGGCCTCCACCTAATAGCGTCTGCGGAAACGTGCGGAATTACTGTGTGCGCGAAGCCACGCGGTACATGTTTGAACTCATTGACCCTCTCACAATGAAGCTTCTTTCAGCATTGCTGGCCTTTCTTGTTGGTTTCATGCACTTGAAGACGACCAGGTTTGGCGCAGAATCGTCCTACACATGTCACAGGTTCCAAAATCTCAGTGTTGGGCTGTTCTAGTGGCTCATTGGTCATGGAGAAGAGAACACACACTATTCCATGTTTAAGTGAATTCAGCGACTGCCGATATAACCTGATAGTTTATTAATACTTAATAAGTGAGCTTTGCCAGACCCAGGTTCACATCCTGCATCAACAAGCCAATTTGACTGTCTTGCATGTGGGACACTTCACATCTCCACTCCTCTAGCACCGGTGAGCCACCGGCAGCGGCCCCGCCGCAAACCCCGGGCAGGTGAAGAGGGAAGGGCAGGGAAGGAAGCTACTAGGCCACTAGGCTCAGCGAATGATCATTGGAGGCCATTACTACTGCGAGTAGTAGCAAGGACGCTATTAGGTGGAGGCCATCGCAAGTAGGTTGGAGGCCATCGCTACTAGTTAACAAGAAGCTACAGAAGCTACTAATGAAAACTACAAAATGATCTTGGAGGCTTTGAGAAAATTGATGCACCAAAATAAGGATCAAGCACCTACTGATCTGCCAGCGGCTGCGCGCGCAAAGCGAGAACCAGCAAAGAGTGTGCAAAGAAAAAACGCGTCCTTCTCATGACAACCAGCCACTACTAGCACAAATGCAAAGCAAACGACAAGTGTAAGTAGAGCTACACCTTGCTACACTTACACTACAAAGGATGCAGGTGAGGCAAGGCACCGTATCACTGAATGAATCTTAGCACGTCACATGTTTTTCATTCTATGTCTATGTACAGGCGTCCACCAAACGACGCGGCCGGTGAAACGTGGATGATGCACGGGTCTAGGAAAAACAGCCAATATTGGTTCTTCAGCTCTCTCCCTCTCTGATTCCCCCTCTCTGTCAACAGTCATCAGCATTGCAGCATTCCTGCTTCACCACCTTCCCCAATCCCAAAAGAAAGAGATTGCCGACCAACAAGCCCAGCCCAGCATCATGTGAAGGCACGTCACTCCTCCTTTCTCCCAAGCGCGAGGCGCTTCCGAATCTAAGTGTGGGATTGGTGGTTTGATCTGCACACCTGAAAAGCCCTGAGGCGAAGACATAATCTTCGTCAAACTGCTTGTGCCTCTCGTAGAACCTACAGTAAACGAAGAGAATTGGACACTGCTAACATCTAGGAGATGCGTGCAGAAACGTTCAATCAGGAGTGTGAAACTCCAGTTGAGTGGATTGGAGTTGTACCATCAGTTTCATCGCGCTGGAGTCCAGTCATTCCTGCACTGAGATGCCAGCTCCCTTTGTATGGGGTCTTTCTGCCTCAAAGGTAGGCTCACTGGCAACAGGAAGAGTTATTGGCTCAAGGGGCTGGCCATGGAGCTGGGAAATGAGAGAGCTCTACTTGGGAGCTAAGGTCCCAGCAACTGCAAAAGCCGCTCATCGATGCGTGCAAATTTCAATGCATCCTCTTCACTGATCCTGCACCAAAAATGCTGGCAAGGAGAACACCTCAACCACACGGCAGTGTCTTTGTTACCTGGTGAGAGCTCACTGCTTTCTGAAGTGGTAGTCCAATGTCTCTGCTCTCATGCTCATGCTCCGCTGGTCGGCAACAGCACCTAGTCTCGTCGACATCGGGAACTGGAACCAATCGGTCAGCCGGCCTCCCTTTCTCCAAGAGTTGCTGCCGGCCTATCTCATAGAAGGCCTCAGGCTGACGAACCACTAACAAAAACCAACATCGTCATTGTTATAACTATATGTGTCCACCCAAACCACGCGGCAGGCTCAATCTGCAAAGTGTTGATGAACCCTGGTCTGGGGGGTACAGTCATTGATCAGCCGGGCCTCTAAGACTCTAAGATCTGTGCTAGCAGCTTCCTTGCTTCCCCACCCTCCATTTCAGTTGACAGCGTGGATCTTAGCGACCAGCGCGCAGTTGATCATGTGCTGCATTGATCCTTGGCTCCACACATCTGCTCGATCCAATAAAAGCAGAAAGACTTTGTCCCCACACCAGTCTACATTGAGCCTACATTGACATCCATCTGTAGCTACCCACCTAGTGAGAACCTCCAGAAGCCGAGTCTCTGCTGCAGCATGGCGACTCTCCTCCTGCGGGCCTTAGAGCCGCATCACACGACCGAGTCTCGTCTTCCAACCCGGGCGTCCGACGGAGCGAAAGCGCCGCTTGCGCAGAGCCTCCTCACCTCAGTCGCAGGTTGCGAAGACGTCTTCAAACACCTGAAGTTCAGCCCTTTTGAAGTCGAGTCGTTGGCCGGACCTGTCATGGAACAGCAACGGCTTTGCCTGGCAAAATCATGAGTGTAGCACGAAGCAAACAAACCCTGCTGTCAACGCTGGCACACATGATGTTGTCGGGTTATTTAAACGAAAAAAAGGGGCCTGTTGGGTGGTTAAGCGATGCACAAAGAAGTTCAGAATTGAACAAACACCACACAGGCCTGGTCGGAAAAGCGTCGAAGTTGCAGCCTCGCATAGCTGGGAAGTTGGTGTTCTGCATCCGACCACCTAAGGACCCTTCAACTTAGTACCGTGTCACTTCCCACAACGCGTTTGTGCTACACAACAAGAAGCTGCTAGGGGCTCCTGGCATCTCTACTAGGAGCAAGGACGCTACTAGGGGCTCCTGGCCTTACTACTAGGAACAATGTGTGCTATTAGAAACAAGAATGAAGTACTGAAGTACCCTGATCTTCCGATTCCGAAATCTCTAGACTCTACAACTCCAAGGAACACCCTCCAACATCCCAAACCCACTTGGAGTGTCGGAGCATCGTCATTCCTTCCTACTTCCTTTATCCACCCTGCCTGCACAGGCTTCCGCCGTGGAAGCGGATCATGTGTGATTCTCTGGAAGCTGTGTTGAAATCGGTCAAAGGGCATGGGTCCGTTTCAAAATGGTTGACCCCCGGACCAATGCTTTGGGGAGTCTAGTTAGTCTTGTCTGACCCTTGGACTTTGGAGGCAAAAAGTTCTGGTCAATCGAACTCTCAACAAATGATGCTGTTGGCGGCTGAATGGAAAGCTGCAGGGGGTAGGATCGTAAACAACACAGACTGTTGTGTCAGAACTTGGATTGCTTGGAAAGCCGTGTGATTGTGAACTGCGTTTGCTTGAGTACATGTTGGCCTTTGTAGAGGCACTGCCATACATTGTTCTCGCAAAAGCTTGAACCCATCATGCAGCTCCTGCGCTTGGTGCTTTGGAGCACACTACTTGTAGTTCTGCTGCACATGGCCCTGTGCTATACGTCTGAACCACCTGGGCCCATCACGATGGTTTGTACAGTATACATATCTGTGTGCATATATGTTCAAACATGCATGTGTCTTGCTAAGGAGTATAGCAATCTATACATACAAATGTATACTTTCAAACATGTGATGAATAGTGAGTATACAGTTGATTCAGGGCACTTCCCGCAATCCATTCCAGTCAAAAACTATCGGAGCCACATATGTCTACGCAGGAATTTGCACCTCGACTCACCAGAGGACAGCCGCCACCTTCCACTTCCATGATCCATGAGCCACCAGAGTCAGAGTGCATCACCGTTCCTTTCTTTCTTGTTCCGCAATGTGGTAAATTGAATCCTTTCATCCTTTCATCTCCGCTCAAACTTGCAACTGTCAAGCGGAGCTTCAGTTGCCGGGACTGACTATTCATGCTCCCTTGACAAATCATCACCACCAACCTACTTGCCAGTCCAAAGGTGCAAACATACCCGGTTGGAATACCAAATAGTGTGTTTGTGGATGAGTGTCGAATGCGTTCTGCATCTTCGAACTCAAATGCTCTACACACGTACCTTGAGCTTTTGATATCCGGCCCTACCTTCCCAATCCCCGTGAAAGCTCTTGGACTTTGTACACACAAACGGCCGCAAGCTCCAGTCCAGCTGGCCTACCTTGGCGCATTCAAGAAACAATGGCCCAGCTAATACTGACATAGAATCACACATATGAAGGACGTGGAGGATTACCGTTCTCTACCAGGTGGTTGCGAGGCACTGCGTTTGACAGGGAGGGCTTCTCACCTTCCGTTTTGGTGCACTCCTCGACAGGCCACCCCACTTCGGCGGCTCGGCCTTCTGTGCCTGTGTTGCAGAAAGTCCCAAACACGTAGACACGCAGCTCAGTGGCACCCGTTTTGTTACAGAAATCCTTTAGACATGGTATGACATGTTAACATGGCATGCCATGGCACTGTGTCGGTTGGAGTCGATGCCCACATCCTTCTGGTTCCAAGGATGCAGATGATTTGATATGATATTGGTATGATGTGATGTGGGTGTGCGTCGTGCGTCAAAAACCCAGGTCTCAGGTGAACATCGCGCACCTTCCTGTTCCATAGGGTATGGAACGGATCCCTTGTTCCATAAGGTATGGAACAGGTATGGAACGGGGGTATGGAACAAATTGTACCAAAAAAACCTGACGTGTCATCTTAGTCCCATTTCTCACGGTATGTAAATGTATTTCAGCAAGCAAAGCGCACGTTTTGATTGAACCTCGAACAATTGCAAACTAGGAATCCATAGGTATGGAACGATGGGTATGGAACGGCGAACAGACATGCTGTACCACAGGTATGGAACGGGGTATGGAACGAGATGTTCAAGAGTACATGTTCCATACCAAAACGTTTTGACTCATGGCCATATTGCGGTATGAGCAACTGACCCTTGATGTGGGTTCACAAATCAATGTCAACAAGTTTGAATCAGGGAGAGCAATGCTCCATACCAACCGAACCCAATTCTTCATATTGTCCGCCGTTCTGGTTGGGCCTGTTTCAAAGTCATCCAGTTTGTGTCCCCCGAAGCTTGTCCATGTTTCGCCGCCGCCTTGAGCCGCCTCGCCCCACCTCGCCTGCACGCTTTGCATGGACGCATGGAGGATGTAGACCGCAAAGCTGCAGGACTGAGCATTCACCTGGCACAAAAAGCATTGCCATCACCCCCCATCAGCCCCCACCACCCCCCATCAACAACCCCCCCTTCTTCTTCGGAAGATTTCGGAAAATGATGGCAGAGGAGGAACCCCGGTATCCCATGGTATCCCCAGTTGACGTCCTGACGGTGTTGCACTGCCAGGTCCTGAAAATCAGGCGAAACATCAGGCATCCTCTGAAGTGAGTTGCCCGGGTAAAACCGCAAGTTTCCAGGATACTTCAAGTTGGTCTGACTGCTGACCCTGAAAAGGTGCTCCGCTTGGAATCATCGATGTTGACCCCTCTTCGAGAACACGTGTTTGCTTTTTCGCTTGATGTCAAGCAAACTGCAAGAGAACCGTCAATTGTAGGCCCTGGGAAAATCTATGACACAAGGAAGCACAAGAAGCACGAGTTCTGCGGCCTGGCCATCTTCATTTGCCAAGATTTCGTTCACCATGAACTCGCAGTAGTCAGGGTGTTTGGCGTACACCTGCATAGTCATACCGTCATACCCGTGGCACGCCAGGAACGCACCGAGCTGCTCTGAGATTACAGAAAAGTCATTAAAATAATAAGAATAACACGGGATCATGATCATGTACTGAAAAGCACGGCACCTCTTTAGTTGAGAAAGAAACAGTCAGAAACAGACATCTGTGGGGGTTTGCCTTCCCAGGCGAGTTAGAGGTCATAACCTTATGTCTGCCAAGTGCAATGCTCATCCGGACACTACTTGGAAGAGCGGATGAGGGGGAACTCCACAATGGAAAATACCGCCTAAGTCCCAATGGTTGGGAGATTTGCACCTGTGAGATGCAACCATGGTCCATGGTGTAGTTTCATATCCCGGATCCCTTCCGCCTCAGCGAAGGTGCTTCCTTTGTGCCTGCAGCACAGGAGTCGTCTTCGCACGGGCCTTTCAACTAAGGTGATTCCTCCAACCACAAGGTGGGGTGAAACGTCGATGTTCCAGATTGCCCCATTCTTGAGCAAGTTGTTTTCTGGCCTCCTAGCGGAAAACACCTGCTAAATAGAGGGTTCTTGGGTTCTTGGCCGTTCTTTGTGGCCTCTCCGTACATCTCTCCAATTCCTTCTGTTCAGCTCCAGAAAAGAACCGATCTCCGTCTTCACAGACTTAATTGATTTGGGGCAAGGGCTCTCATCGGAAGGGGATCACTGGACACATCATCTTTTGCTCTGGCTTTGCCAGGGGAACACAACTGAACGAAGAGGAGGAATCATAAATGCAGTATACAAGCGAAAGAAAAAGCAGGATTGCTTCACAGTGAGGTTATGTGAGGTTCCTTTCCTACTTCCAGCTTCAGACCACCTGTCACACCTGCTCTTCCCCCATCTGATGCTTTGACTGCTCAGCGTTCAACTCGCGCCTACCAAAGTTGATGAGCCATTTCCCATCTGCCAAAGATCCGTTGGCGCTCGGTGCTCTCGACGCCTCAAGGCCGACTCAAGTCAACAAGAAACAGGAAGACTCAAGTCTACATATCCAGGTTCTCCAGCATGTTTGGGAAACCGGAAAAGAAGATCACCGCAATTCCTGTGATGCCGGATTTCGTCCGAATGTGAAGACTCTTCCTTGACGCTGCAGAAGAATATCAAAGTAGCTGAGGCGCGTAGGAAGGATTGCCCCTCCGAGAAAACGTACGCGTCCTCGTTCCAAAAGAGGAAAGCTGAACTCCTGGCAGGCCAAAGAAACACGATCACCACGCCAAAGCGGTGAAGCACATCAAACACAAAAAAATATCTCCAAAAGAGCGATCCTTGAAGATACTCTCCAAAAGCTCGAAAATCCATGCTCATCTCTTCACCTTCCTGGCAGCAAGAAGCTGGCCATGAAATATGAGCAATCGGCAAAGAACTTAAGTGCAATGCCCAGTCCATTAGAATCCAGCAGAGTTGAACATGCATGTATGTTCAGTCTGTTTTTTTGGCTGCACACTATCTAGCCAAGCCGGCCTGAAGATCCGTTTTGTACTGCTCCTTCACCCAAGAGCAATACCTAGTCAAGCAACAGCTCCAGATGGTGCTTTGGCCAAGGTCAGCCAGCCAGCTAGTCTCAACCGTGCAAGCATGTCGAAGCCATAAACTCACACACACTCTGACGTTTGAGTTGTAACAAACATGCGCTCTGTGCATGCCGAAGGCTCTGCCTGGGGTCAGCTTTCAAGAGTTCCTCGTAGGTCAAAGCCTCATACCTGGCAAGTCTAGAGCCAATTCCGGCGCGCATGTGTGCCAAGAAGGCCAACAGCAGGTGCGACTTTCCAAAGCCAACAGCTCGATCACCTCCAGGGGGCAAATCCTCAGTCTTCAGCAAAACCCTTCCAAGATACCAGTTAGTCCTGGTCCTAGTTGTCTTTTGATCGTTCAAATTTCAAATGAAGATGCCTTCGAAGCTCACCAAACCCATCTTCCAAACAGTCATCACTCAGAGGACATGGCTGCAAATATTTCGGCATTGGCGGCATTCTCAGCTTCCAGGGCCTCCGCCGGTGGAATGTGAACAACCCCAACTCCAACTCCTCCTCCCCCCCATCCCCCTCCTCCTCCTTCTCCTCCTTCTCTCGTCTGACTCCGTGCACTCGACCCCTTACACAAACATCCCGGCACCCGTCCCAGTCGTTCTCAACCAAACAAGAATAGGCATGGGCCGTTCTTCGGGTGAGGTGCACAAAGATGGATCTTGAATGAGGCTAGGAAAAGGACAATATTCACAGACTTCACTTCACACAACGGTTGGCCTGTTTTGCGGCAAACCTCGATGATTTCTTATACAAAAGGAACATCATGAGTCATCACTCATGATTTATTGTAATGATCAAAGCTCCCCACGTGGTCATGGCCCAGGGAAAGGAGAAAAAGGACTGGCCTGTTGAAGAGCCGGGTCTGCCTGCCACAACCATGTCTTTCAATGATCTGACGGTCACAATTTGGCCCCTGAACAAACCCCGCATCAAAGGCTTCTGCAAAGTTCTGGTCTCAGTTACTGAACTTGTTTTTTGTTGCACAACACCCAAAGCATTGGCCTACACACAATTATGCCAGCATAGACCCCAACAAATTCAGCATTTTCTTTGCATCAACTCCTTTAGTTCCAATGTTGGTAACGTCTGTAATTTTGTTCATGTAGCTTCCAGCTGTTTGGGAATGGCACTGTTTGAAAACAATACTTCCTGATTCCTGGGTCACATGTGCAAAAATCATGAGAAAGTCCGATGATGATATCAAATTGGAAACGCTGCACCACTGCTGCATTCATAGCCACATGAAAACATACCCGGACGAGGTGATGGAGAAAGGGCAAGGCCTGGACAAGGCGGTGGTAAAAGGGTCAACCACGCTGACAAGCAGGACAGGCAGACCCGGACAAGACTTGGCAGACCTGGACAAAGCCGTAGCAAGGACAACGCCGGGCCCGCGGTGCGGCCACAGCTATTCCATTTCTTTAAACTGATTGGGGAACAAGAGGATAACACAGCAGGACACCAAGAGGACAAAAGGCGGACACAGGGTTTGCAAGCGCGGTGAGAGGACAGCAGGACAACTCCTCCAACACCCGGACACAGGGTTCAGGGCTGTGGCTAGAGACTGTGGCCAGTGTCTCTTTTTCCTAAGAGAGAACCCCAACAGTAAACTGTTTGGGTAAAAACGGTAAAAACCTTGGTCTCTTTGGATTGTCAAACGCACCTTGGCTCGAGATAGAAGATATTCTTTCAGGTCATCATATTCCTTGCCCAAGGATTTTTGCTGCGTCAGAAGCCAACTGCAGTACCTCTCCAGGTGTCTTCCAGACCACCCACGTGAAAAAAAAAAACGTTGAATTCAGGTGTTCTGCAGGGGCACTGTGGCATCTGTGCCAAACACTCTTCATGGGTCAAACCCTTGCATTTGCCCTGGCTCATCACAGCTGATGAGAAAAGCCGTCGCCATACGCCTGAGAAGAAAGGCCACCATGCAAAACGATCAAGAGCTTGGGACTCTAGAAAGTTGACATCCCTCGAATTCACAAAAAAACTCTAAATACCACCTACATACTCCTTTGTTGGACGACATTTTGGGGCAGATCTCTATGTTCCGCTTCCTTCTTAACCTGCAAGGACTCAGGCTTCGACGGCCTCCACCCAATCGGAATGGCAACATGAGGTCGAGATATTGCCAACTCGGAACTCACATGAGCCTTTGACAAACTCCTCTGGTCAGCCTGAAAGGTTACCATGGTTTCAAACTGCAGAGATGGGAACCGCTAAGTGGGTCGTCCCTATCAGTTGTACATGCGTCGATCTCAGGCCTTGAGCAATTGCATCTGGATGTCGTGAATCACCAAGGCATAGACTGAACTCTTCTGCACCCCCCGGAAATGCATTGCAGCAAAATCCGCCCGCACCGAAGGTGCGGAGGTGTTAAACTGTAGGTAGCGCATTCATCGGTTCGCTTTTCGTTTGGCAAGAAAAACATATTCATCATGAGGTGTGTCTGGGAGAGGAATGGGAACGGAAAACAAACAAAAAACATATATATTTTTGGGATATCGTGTATCTGTATGTCTGACGATATGTTTCATCATCGTATCATTTGCATCACCAGGTGCATCAAAAGCAAACAAACGGCTCCTTTCAACAGGCTATGTCTTGAATACATCTGTCATGGTTGCATCATATGCGTCAGCTGGTTGCAACTGTATAGTTTATTGGACAAAATGCCTGCAAGTTAGTATAATTTGGTCAGGGGGTCGAAAAATAGATCCAACAACGCTTGCAAGCTGCAAACAATATAACTAAACAATGTGTCTGAGGGTCCAAGAATAGAGTGATGATTATAGAGACTTCTTTTGCCCTCTCTGTGAGAGCCACTGGTGTGGGCGGTCCCGAATAGTGATTTTCTTCACTGGGTCAATGTGGTGCTAGTGCTTTTCTTCCCTGAACAGGACAACGCACTGTATGTAGGTCTGGTCACTCGAACCGTGCAACTTCCGAGGCTCCGTTCTTTTGCAGTAACTTTGCATTGATCACAGCACAGGCTGTGGAGGCAACGTCACTTTGAATTGCACTCTCCCTTCATTGGGACAAAACCTTGAAAATCAACTCTGTGGAACGGAAAATGACGCTCTGACAAAGGCACCAATGCTGGTCATAGAACTTCAGTTCATTCATCTCACTGGCCTTACCTTAGTTCTGCTGATCCCTTTGCAAAGGCAAGAGACTTCGCGAGTTTCAAAGCGCTAAGATTCTGTCACGGCGTATATACAGCACAAAACCTCCTTGTAGGAGTGTCCTGCGCAAGCACTTTGGGCGCAAGGACATTCCTCTCTAGGCGAGCGTGGGCCCTTCAGCAAGGTAGCCTTGGCCGTAGCGCATTCGTTGGCAATCACGTGAACTCAACAGATTGGTATGACATGGGTGTGCGAAAGGTGGTGACGATCCCTTCAATACGGCAAAACGTGTTGCCTCAAAATGAGGGAACACCCCAGCTCATCCTGAATCCCCCACATATCAAGGAAGGGAAGCCAGCTCCCAACTCCTATAGCATCGAACTGACACGCGTATGCACTTTGTGTTTGTGGGACTAGTCCCACCAAGACCTTAGAACTCAATAGGAACAGGAATGGTCAAAAGCGAGCACCTTTGGCCTAGCTTGGTTTCCGACAGAACTTTCGGAAGACCCCTCCCCAGGGCTGGCACTGCGTACAGTACCAAGCAGAAACGAGACCCCAAACAGAGGACACAAGCATCACTCTCTGTGAGCCTACCCGCTGCGCTGCCTTTTGGTCGCGGGTGCCACGGCAGCTCGCCAGGCGTCACTTGCCGCGCCGGGAGCTGCCAGCTCTTCGTTTCGTCTGTTGAAAAAAAAAAGAGAGCTCGAGCCAGACCTTCGGTCGCTCGCACCTGTGTCACTACGCACATCACGCTGTGCTACACGACACAAGCATCACTCTCTGTGAGCCTACCCGCTGCGCTGCCTTTTGGTCGCGGGTGCCACGGCAGCTCGCCAGGCGTCACTTGCCATGCCGGCCGCCGTCCCCCGTGGATCCCGGCCGACTTTCGTGGCCAGCGCAGCTCCAATCTTCATGGCCTCGTCCATAGACGTGGTGGCCCGAAGAAGTTTCTGGTACAAGCTGTCCCAGTCGAATTGCACCGGACTCCATTGGAGCTGGTGCGCCATTGAAAAATCGCCGCGGCTCACTGCGTCCGAGATGTTCGCCTCCGAGGTCACCCTCTCCCATTGCGGATGGTGGTTGCATCCGTCCACGAACCGCCATATCAGGCCCAACAGGCGGTTGACCTTCACATCTCTTCCGAAGCCCTTTTGGAGAGCGAATTTGCCGGGTTCATTGTCAATGAAACACAGGCTCAGCGGCCCCATCATCTCCATGCACGAGACGAGGCACACGATCTGTGCAAGGATTTCGAGGGCGTAGATGAACGCCCTCCTGGTGGTGAAGCGTCCCAACAAATCCCCTGGGATGCTGCCATGTGCATAGTGACACCGGCCGCAGGGTTCTCGGAGAACGAATCCCCGGCCGTTGACCATGAGGTTGGCCGCCTCTGCGTTCCATCCTCCGTGAGCCAGTGCCGAGCGAACCGACAGTCTCTCATCGCCAGCCTGAAAGAAGGCGTCGGCGTAAACGATGGTGCATGGTTGGCTCTCGAACTTGAAAACCCTGGGTTTTGCGATGGGAAGTACATGAAGTAGGGTGACCAAGGAGTCTCTGATTCCGTCACCTAGTGAGGTTTGCGCATGTTGTATTGGTGCAGCTGCTCGTGCATAAAGGGGTTGGAGACAACATCGGATGGTTTGGGACATCATTGCCTCAGAGATGAACTGCAGTTTGCCTGCCAAACGTTTGGCTTCATCGGATGACATGGTCCCCCGCTGGAGGTATTCGTTCAGTTGAGATGTGATCCTGGTCACGCGTGCTTCCTCTGTGTGTACTGTGAATGCTACTGAGTCGATGGCCATGACGACACCCTGTATGAGTTGTGTCTGTGCTGGGGGCTGGTTCTTGCTTGGCTTGAACTTGAAGCCAACTGTCTTCATGAGGTGCTGCACGCACTCGAATCCAGACTGAATCGAACATTCGGGTTCGATGGCTGCGTAGTCGTCCACGTAGTGTACCATTGGTGACAGCGTCAGTGCTCTACAAAGCCAACAGATCATGTCGGCGGTGCGTGTGTACGACCACACTGATGCGGTGCTGCCGAACAACAAGCATCGGTGCTTCCACAAGGTCCACCCCCCCGGGACACGGACTAGTACGTGTGTGTGGTTAGGTTCGGCAACTGGCAGTTGCCTGTACGCTGATTCGTGGTCTGCTCCCCACAGGTGTGTTGTGAATCCGTGGCTTTTGAACTCATATATTGGCCACCGCTATGAAGGTGTTGACCCTGTGTGTCGGCGGGATGTCCTCTCCCTCGACTGTGTCATTGTGTCTGCTTCGTTTCCAGTCTTCACAACGCCTCACCTTCGTGAGGCCGTCTGCCCCGGTCTGCTCGACCGAAAATGCAAAACTAGTCGGGACGTGGCACTCAGGTCCCTGAAGCCGGTGTTGTGTGTTGGGGTGGTGCACCGAGGGGATTGTGCGGATGCCCCACGATGGTGGTGCGGTGAGGGGTCCGATCATCCGGTTCTTGCTGATGTCAGTGGAAATCTCATTCAGGAGTTCTTTCCAATGCTTGTCTGGTTTCGTTTGGTGCAACGGCTGTGCGTATTTCATGTCCTCCCGTTTGGTCCATCCCAGACCCGGGTTCATCTTTCCCAGGACGGAGAATCCAGACTGGATCTCGTCCAGGAGTTTCGGGTCTTCCCACCCGAGTCGTTTCAGGAGATTTGACAACAGTGGAAAGTGGATTCTGTTTGGGCCGTTGGGGTCGAGCACGATTCGGATGTTTTCGGCCCGGGCCTGATGCCAGTCCTGAAGGTCATCGTCCAGGTCAGCGGCCTGTGCTGAGATCTCTTTCATCAACTTCTCCCGGAGTTCTGGCAAGCAAGGGTGCCAGTGCAACCACAGCTGGATGGTCTGTTGAAGGCCCGGTTCGAGCAGGTCGGCCACTGCTGCTGGGTGGCGTCTTGTGTAGCTGTGCTGCCAATGCTCTTGGAGGCACTTGCACTGGGTCATCCAGTGATCTCTTGGTTGGTCCGGTGGCTGTCCTGTGGCCAAGGGTCCGGACTGCCAGATGGATGTCATGATGTCCATGGCACTGTGGCCTAATGGCTGCAGGTCGACTCCCACTTGGACATTCGCCTCGGCCGCTGGGAAGCAGGTCAGAAGGAGCATGACGATGACGGCCGTGCCCAAATGCCAGCCGTTCGCCACCACCTTGTGGCGTGCCCGTTCGTCCTTGGCGGGCGCCGTGAAGTCATCTGCCAGGTGGTGCATCCGCTCCTTCAGGAGGATGCTTGGTGTCACGAGTTCTCCTCACTCGTTCTCCCATAAGTTCTCGCTCTTGAAGTGCCATGGGGCGAATTGACGCCCCGCGAGTTCCCAGCGATGGAATGTGGCTGAGTCCAACTTCCCCCTGTCTCTGCGTCAAAGTGACGGAGATCGGCTTTGCGGCCCATGATCACGTTCTCTATCATGCGCAGCAGCTTCCTCTGGCCGAAGATGAAGTTCGGGTCAGCGAACCACCGCAGCACGCCATCGAACTTCTGGCCCTCGGGGCCGTCTTTGCCCTCTGCATCTGGTCGGATGCGGCTGAAATCTGGGCATGGTGGGGCTGCAGCCAGAAGGATTGCACACTCGCAGTTGGGATCGATGTCATTGATCCGGTCTCGGAGGGCCTCCTGCGAGTCGGCGAAAATGTCGCCCCTGTGCTCGATGTCTGGCCAGTGCGTCGACGAGATCGTCGTGCAGGCTTCGTCGATCTCCCATGAGATTCGGTGCCAGATGTGGCGGTGTCCCAACACGATGTCGGCAGCTGCGTGCGCGGTGCCGCAGCCGTCGAAGACACAGAGGATGAGCCAGGACTTGTGCACAGGTTGTGGCCTGGGGGCGCTGGGGCCCAAGTATCGCGCCAGGCGATCATCGGGCTTTGTGGGTTGTGTCTTCTGCCGTTTCGGCCCGGGTACTCCCCCTGGCTCAGGGGGAGCCCCGAGCTGTCCCTAGCCCGGGGGCTTGCCAGCCGACGGCTTCTTCCACGGCTGTGACTGCCAGCCGTCCTGCGACTTCCATTGCGGCCACTCCCGTTTCCAAGGGCGATCTTGAGAGGACTGTGATGATGTCCAAGTGGAGGTCTCCGCCCTGTCGGACTTGCCATAGCCCTTGCCCTTCTGGTGTTGTGGCCGGCTCTGTGGTTTCTTGGGTGGAGGCTTGGTCGTGCCCAACTCCTTCATCAAGGCGGCCTGAAGTGCTGCCGCGTCGTCGATGATCTGCTGCATGGCCTGGTCGAAAGGGTATCCCTGGCGCATGGACAGCGCGACTTTCCAGCGGGCATCGGTCCAATAGGCTTTGATTTGCTCTATTTTGCCCGGCCTCGACCTGAAGAGTTGCCTCCACCAGCTGATGTATTCCTTCACATCTAGTTCATGCCCCAGCTGGCATAGGATCCAACAGAGCTCAATGGCCTCCAAGGCGTCCATCAAGCCCAGCAACCCCTTGGGGCTCCACTGCTGCTCCTCCTCGATCACGATCGCGTTCTGCTCTTCATCGACCGTCAGTCGGCTCTGCTGCTTTTGTTTCATCTCTTTGTTGAGCGTGTTCAACGAGCCGGAGGAATCGAAGCACCTGGCTTCGAGCAGTTCGTGGAGCTGTGTCGGGGTGAATTGAGATGAGATCCACTTCTCGTGCCAGATGCGGGCCATCACCTTTTCGGCGCCGACCAGTGCTTTCATCGGAAAGTCACGGTTGCGGCCCGCGATTTGGGTGTCACTGTAGAACTTCAGAAGCTTCTGGAGTTCGGCTGGGGGAATTTCCCGCGGCACGGCGGGTACCGCCTTTGACGGGGCCGGTTCGGAGGCCACCAGGCCGGGTTCCCGCCGGCTGACCCATTGAGCTCCCTGGGTGGCCATCTTGTTGTGCCTGTGCGCGACACCGCTGCCAGAGGAAGCGCAGGGCCGCTCGGACAACGTGTCCTTCGTCTTGGGAGATCTGCCATTCATATGACCTTCCACGGTCACTCCATCCCTCAGCGGGACGTAGAGCATCTCGTCCACTTCTTTGTAAGTGTCGGCCATAGCCGCCAGCAATCCGGCGGACAAGATCTGCCGATCCTTCAAGTAGCCGAGGAGGTGCTCCGGCAGGCCACAGGAGGTGGCGAGGCTCACGAGCTCAGCGGAGAGTGCCCTCATGGCGCCGGTCGGGGCGCTAGCGTTCGGGTCTTCCATCGTGCCTGAGCCGTCGTTCACGGAGTGCACCCGTCGAGATCGATCGATCGGCCCGAATCCAAAGTGTGTGTGGAGCCCTGTCGCATCGACCCCAGGTGTTCCGACGAACGAAGGATGTGGGGGCCCAGGAACCTTGGGGGACTAAAGCTGGGTCAGGCTCTGACTGCACACAGCGAATCCTCGAGCCTCAGGGTCTAAAGCTGAGTATGGCCAGGAAATGTGTCGCACCGTCGCTGGATGTCTCATGCCTTTCTTCACTCGGAGTCGGAGTCACTGCTCGATGACGAGCTGGAGGATTCGTCGGATCGGCGATCCATAACCTCCGTTTCGGAGGAAGCCCCTTCTGCGTCAGGGGTGTTCGGAAAACACTGGCGACACGGCTGGTCTAAAATGTCTGACCTGCGAAATCGTGTCAGGCCATAAGGGCGCCCGCACTTGGTGCGCCACTCCGCCGGCACCGCCCCGTGTTCGCGGGGGTCCGGCAAATGGGCCTTGCGGATCACCACGTATTTCGGTGGTGTGTTCATCAGGGCGACCTTCGCGGCCACGCTCTCCAGCTTCGACCGAAGTTCGGCCAACTCGTCAGCCGGCTCGATCGAGGGTCGCGCCTGGGTGTCATCATTTGTACCCAGCGGCCTGCACGGTCGCAAGAGGGCAGCCTCCTGGATGTACCGCTGGATGGCGTGCGAGCTCCATCGCCCGATGAGGAGGATGGTGTTGGTGTCGACTCCATGGGCCGCGAGGAATTGCGAGTCCGCGACCCGGAGGGAGTGGCCCCCGAGTCGCTCCAGCTGCTTGCCGGTCGGCCCGACGCGGGTCGTCTCCGTCCCTGTCAGGTGGATGATGTGTCGAATCGACTTGATGGCGTCGGCCTTCGTCCATTTCCTCCCATGGGCGTGCGGGAAGAGGGGTGTCCGATCGGTGATCAGCTCGATCTTGGACAGTCGCCTGCGAAGTGCATGTACGATGCACAGGGGTTCGACCTCGTTGGAGCACGAGCAAGCGTGCGATCGCTCGATCATCTCCCCTTTGGTGTCCGTCTTGGACATTGGCAGGCTCCAGTGGACCGTTGGGTGGGCAGAGGATGTGTGCTCGAACCGAACGTGAGTGGCCCGAGCGTTGGCGAGCTCAATCTCTCGCATTAGGAACCAAGATCCGCTAAGCACCAGGATGTAGTCGTCCTCGAACTTCTCGAAGTCGGGGCGATGCCACAAGTTCCTTAGCAGCGTGAAGTCGAACGAGTCCTTCAGTTTCGAAGGGCCGATGCCCCGCTCGATGCTGCGAATGGCGTCTTTCATGCTCAGCTCTACCTCGATGGGGATGTCACCGTGTCGGGTGACGTGCTCTCGTCGAGCCGCACTGAAGTACAGTTTGGCCGACTTGTAGCCGCCGGCCTTGAGTGATGCCCCCACTCGCTCGATCAGCTCTGGTGTGAGGGGCCACGCCGGCAAGTACCATGCTCTGGCGATGGTCTCCCATGTCTTCACTCGGCTGTTGTGGGGGTGGGAGTTGCTCCGGGCCCACACGTCCTCCCGGAATGCCTTCAAGGTGCGATCCGCCTGGTTGGCCTGGGCGGACTCCAATGCCCGCTTGAGGCTGCCACCAGCTGAGAGTTGGTTTCTGGTGGTCGATCCCGGTGGGTCGACGACAGCCACTGAGCCAGCGGCACACACCACATGTTCTGTTCGGTCGTGGTGAGGCCAAGGGAGTCCCACCGTGATCGGTGTGCGTCGACGATCGAAGGTGTGGTCCATCCGTGTTTGACGAGCGCTGGGAGTATGTGGGCGATGTCTGCTACCTCACAGGCATCTTTGAGTGTGAGCCAGCTATCCGCTAGGGCCATCGTGACGGCTGTGGAGTGCACGAAGGGTGCAAGGTCAAACAAGATGCTCTGGTAAGTCTTTGACGACGATCGATCGTTCGGTCGAAACCAAGTCACCGAGGCTAAGCTCTGAGCGTGGTCCGTGTGTGTCCGAGTCGTCTCAGACTATGGTCCCAACACCGATGTCGACGGGGCGTGATTTTCATACCGTTCCAAGTCACGATCGGTCACACTCATGGTGACTCAAAGGTAAGGCTGCGACGGGCAGTCTCAAGGTCCTCGCTGTTCTGGGTCGCCAAGGCCAGCATGGCATCACTGATTGCGGTGTTCATCCGCGTCCGGCGTGTCAGGGAGGCCCTGCCGATGAGGTGAACGTCCTCCAAGTAGGCGCTCAAGCTGGAGAACATGAACTCCACTCCCCATGCGTTGGTCAGCTGTGCCCCACGGCGCCAACGGCGTGCAACCGGCACGCAGCGCGAAGCACCATCCAGCCACGTCTCCAGTTGCTGGGTGGTCCACAAGCCGAAGACTTCCATAAGCGGCCGGGGGGCCGTGCCTGGCGGGCTATACTTAGGAGGCGCGCGGGACTTAGCTAGTTGAACTATACTTAAAGT